GTAACCAATGAATTAAACAGTATTATCCCATAGGAAGGATTGTAATGACTTTTATTTTCCTGACTCTTTTTTAAAAAAACAAATGCTAATAATCATTTTTTCCATACTTTAAAATCTTCATTCACCAATTTAATGTAAGTAAAGAGGAACAGAGAATTAGAAACTGGCCATAATTTGGAAACTAAAGCTGGCTTTTAAAGCTGTCCTCATAGAAAAACATTTGACTTCTTGACTAAAAAGAAAACTGCCTAATTGTACAGTTGCAAATTAATGGTTATTATGCAACCCATGTCTTTCACAACAAGCATAGAAAAGAACAATTCTAAAATTGAGGGAAATTAGCTAAATATTCTACAAACTTAGGAAAGTACAGAAAAAATTTCAAGTCTGTGGATTTTTAGAAAATCCACAAACAAAATAAAACTCCATGTCTCACTTGGAGATCATGTCAGAAACAGGACCTATTGTATTTTTTAAAAATAAACTAGGCTAGACGTTGCTGGCAAGAAAGTCAATACAGACAAAAAATTAAAACAGCCCATCCAAGGCTACCACCCAGAGACAAATAAGCATTTTTACTCATTTAGCTTCTTTTACAAGGACTAGATTCTTCTTCCCGCTTTGGCTATTAAAATCCTTTTTAAACCCCCTGAGCTCTCAAGAAACTTTGTTTTGTTACCCCAACCATTTTCTTCTCTGAAATACTTTGGTCTTTGCACAATTCAGCTTCTAGTTTTAGGCTGTTCTGTCTTCTCTTGGTTCCACACGTATCATCGTCACTGCACAGCCAGACTGTGGGGACCTCAGGTAGGTGGTCATGAGCCTTACAAACTATATCCTTGACTGTGCTCAACATCTGTAGGGCAGAGAGTAGCCAAGACCTCTGCATTTTCATCAAGTGATGCCTCACCTACTTGTTAGCTAAGTTATTTTCTGAGCCAGAGTTTCATCAGCTGTAAAATAGGGACAATCACACCATCAACCTCCTGGGTTGCGGGCAGATTGGGCAAAATGATTCACTATTACTTAGCAGAGTGCCTGGTACCCAGGAAGCCCTCAGGAAATGGCCGTCTTCTGCTCCACACATATTTGCTGACTGTTAGGGAGAATCATGAATCTTCTACCATGTCCAGAGACAAAATGTTTCTCATCTGAAAGTAGGAAGTCACATATTTTACAGCTGCAGGTTTACACAGATGGTCTCCTCTGGGGATTCTTACTGTATTTCGGCGATTCTTTTTTTCCCCACTCACACTTTAGGATCTTGGAACTCAGGAGGTGTCTTACAATCCAGTCTTCCAAGCAGCTGAGAGATGTTTTGTTTTCTTAGAGTCAATGAAATCCAGCACAAACTGATGGATTCTTTTGAAGAAAGAGATTTTAGAGAATTACATTCGGAAGCTTCTATCTCTCCTTCTGTGTTGCTCTTCATGCTTTTAACTCTGCCCCATCAGCCCCACGCTCAGAGTGCCACCATCCCTGTCCTTTAAATGTCATAGACAAAGAGACACTGCTCATTTTTACCATGGCCGTGTTTTCTAAGTCATTTGACAGCATTTCAAATGGATACCACTTCAAACTGATCCCTGGTACTCTGAGCACAGAAAGTTATGGTTATTAGAGCTCTCTCTCACAATTAAAATGCCTATCTGGTCATGACTGTCTTGGAAAGTCTTCATGATATTGATATATGTCCTGATTTTCCCAGAATATTTTTTAGTTTTGCCTATTGTCCCAGCATAATTATTAACAGCAATTCCTTTCATCCTCAGGCGTACTCTGGTTCGGATGATGGATGATAAGATTACCCAAGGTGAAAACCAAGGTAGGTCCAAAATTTCTAGTTTTCATGTCCTTTATTTTAATTTTGTCTTTGTTATTTGTAACCTTGTGCTTCTAGTCAACTAGTCATTTGTGTGGTTCAGGCAGTGTTCATTCCTTCATATTTTACTGCACACTGATTATACAAGGAAAAGCAAAACATACATGGCCCTCCCACCTGGAGTTTACAACCTAGAAGAGCAAACGGACATTAGTTAATTACACATCCTAAATGTCACAACTCCTCGAGAGAGGTGCAAGATGCTCTGTGACAATGAGGAGGTGGGCGGGCCTTGTGGACAATAGAAATGCCCCTGCATTGTTTGTTTCACCCCAGGAGCATGTCATCTCATTTTAACACAGTGTTCAAAATGTCACTGAGTTTGCCTTCCATTCATTTGCTATGATGCAGAGACAGTTCAGTACAAAGAGGCCTTTCTGAAGTCACACACAAAGTCATAACCATGGGTGTGTAAAGGGCAGCGAACAGAAAGTTAATCTTGGTTTCTTACTAAAGTGGCAAAATGATGATGGGAGCAATAAACAGGGAGAGGACAAAACAATGATATTTGGGATTAGGGTACCAATGGTATCAAGTGTTCTGTTTTGTTTTGAGTTGGGTTTTCCGCTCCAGAATTCCTTTAGGAGCACAGTTCTAAGCATACAGCAAAAGTGCTCAGAGCATCTTGACTCATGATGACAGGGAAAATGAAGCTCAGAGAAAGAAGGCACGGAACCCACATTCACACAGAGAAAGGAGAAGGCTAAAAGGCTTGGTTTCCCACAGTTCCTGTCTCCTTTCTGAGATCTATAATGTCAGCAACCAAAACAGACAGTGGTTGGCCATTGGTGGGGTGGATGAGTGAGCATGGAGGCTCTGGGAGGGACTCCATAGGCTACGCAACATTCTCCTGAGAAAGCCCTGTGAGAGAGCAGAATCCAATGTGGGAGCCGGTGTGAGAGAAGGACCGCTGGGAACAGGATTCTAGTTATTGACAAAGCACCAGGTGTGTAAATTTACTTCCCACATCATGATTCACTGGTCTGCTTCCCACATATCTGTTTTTCCGAAGAGCACATTTACAGTACAAATAGGCCCTTCCAAAGACAGGAAATTAAATAATAACTATGTAAGTGTGCAGGGCCACGGCCAAAAGTAAAAGAAAAAAAAATGGTTCATGGTGCCTGCACAGAGAATCTATAAATTATTATGCTGCCTCTTCACTAATCCAGATAAGTTCCACTTAAATGTTAACTACTGTTGGGCAAATATTTTATCTAGCCAAATGTTTACTAAATGAGACATGATTATACTTAAAATCTCAGCAAAGTCTTCAAGGATTAGAGATGACAGTGGCGCTCACATGTGTTGATTTTTCATTTAGTGGTGTGTAATGAATGCAAGTTGAGGTAGCAGACAGAACTCTACCTCTGGGATCAATAAGCCTAAACTTAAGTCCTGGCAATGCCATTTGTCATCTGTTTGTCCTTGGCAAGTCTTTGAGCCATGGTTTTCTCATCTGTGTAATGGGGATATTATAATGACACTAGAGACCCGATGCATGAAGATTCGTGCAAGAATGGGCCTTCCTTCCCCTGGCTGCCAGCAATGCCTTCGCTCTGACAAGAGTCACCTTTCTACCTTCCCACGCTGCCCAGAGGCCCGGAGCAGCTGGGGCGGTGTGGAACACCTGTGCCTGCATATGCAAATTAACCCACCATCTTTGTTGGGTTAATTTGCAAACTCACTCCTGATTGGCTGGTGGGCATCGCGAAGGTACGGTCAATTTGCATCTTTCTTTTATTGGTGTAGATGAGGATTCTGCCTTTAGTTCTGAGAATTTAATAAGATACCACGTGAAAGTACTTAGCAGTGCCTGGGATGTCATCAGGAAATAGTAGTTGCTTTGATAGTGATTGGGTTCAAAATTCTCACCAGTAACCTAGGTAAAAAGTTAATGTCTCGCTGAGACCAGTTTGGCTCAGTGGATGGAGCGTCGGCCTGCGGACTGAAGGGTCCCGGGTTCGATTCCGGTCAGGGGCATGTGCCTTGGTTGCGGGCACATCCCCAGTTGGGGGGTGTGCAGGAGGCAGCTGATCGGTGTTTCTCTCTCGTCGATGTTTCTGACTCTCTGTCCCTCTCCCTTCCTCTCTGTAAGAAATCAATAAAATATATTTAAAAAAAAAGTTAATGTCTCCTCATCATGGTTTTCTTGTATTTAGACTGATCTAACTGTATCTGCTCTGTTCACTTATCACAAATTATTACAGCAATCAGGTGATATGTCACATAGGAAATCATCATTAAAACTACCAATTTCTTTATAAATGTGAAGTATTATCTTTCCCCTCTATTGTTTCCTTGGGTTTATAGCTGCCTTGTTACAGTTCACCCTTAAACAACACAGGTTTGAACTGTACGGGTCCATTTATATGTTGATTCCCCCCATAAATACACAGTCAGCTTCAGGGTCTGGCATCTGCAGATTTAACCAACCATGGATGGAAAACAGTATTTTCTATCTACAGTTGGGAATTCTCAGATGCAGAGAACAGGCCATTTTATTTAAGGGATTTGAGCATCTGTGAATTTTGGTATCTGAGGACGGTCTTGGAAACAACCCCCCCCCCCCCACAGGATACTGAGGATACTGAAGGACCACTGTTGTTAACTTTTGGGGGAGTCAAAAGTGATATGCAGGTTTTTACTGATGGGGGTCAGCATCCCTAAAACCTCCCCCTCTTGTTCAAGGCTCAACTGTATTTGTCTTTATTTAACAGAAATGTACCAAGTGAGTGAAACAAGTAGTTTCACTGCTGACAGGTAGTTAGGACTCAAATGCTCTCCCCAGAGACTTTCCTTCCTATGAACTTCTTTATTACTATTTCAATTAATTCATTTATTATTTAGTAAGTTCCTGTATGTCATCTTTCTCCTCTTCTTCTAAGCTTAGTTATAAGATAGCACCAATATTCATTGGTTCTGGCCTTGGGCACAATGTGCTTAGTTGTCTTGTTTTTTAATCTTCAAAATAAGGCCAAAAACCTACCTCAAGGAATGGATGTAAGAATTAGGTGAGGGTTGAATGTCATGTTCAACAAGGACCCGTGGAACGCAGCAGGTACTGAATTCTCTCCTGTGCACTCAGTCCACGGCCGTCCCCTTGGACTTGACTGACCTGTGAATGATGCGCTGGCTCTGCAGGTAGTCCAGGGCCATGGCCAGCTCACAGATGAAGAGCTTCACGGTGTCTTCCTGGAAACGGACGTTCTGCTGTAGGTGATACCGTAGGTCCCCGCCCAGCAGGAGGTCCACCACCATGAACATGTCTTCCTCATCTTGGAAGGAGTACCTGGGATCGAGTCGGAAAGGAAAATGGGTCTGATACAGTTACACACGAAAGAGTCCCAGAGGTGAAGACACCCTACAGATCTGAGCAGCGCGTGGTTGAGCTAAGAGGTCAGGTTTTGGGATGAGATGATTTATCACTCGCTCTATGGCTCTGGGCCACCAGTTTCCACTTGTATAAGATGGGAATAATAAGAATATCTACCACATTTGAACATAGTAAAAAATAAAGGCTAATAGCTGAGTCATGCCTGGAATATAGTAGGCATTCATTAACTGTTAGCTTACAAAGCTATAAAGCCAAGGAAATAATGAAAACCCCATTTATTCGCTTATCATTAACGATCATATCCTAACCACACTGTTTAAGAGGTCCATAAAATGTGGATTAGAAGGCCTCCTTGAAGCATTCTGGTGCCCATTTTCCCACACCAACAACTTCATTGCCCAGCAACACTATGAAAAAGCATGTACCAACACTAATGACAGGAAAAGAATTTAAAAGGGGCAATAAAGAAGAAAGTGCCCAGTACAAGGAAATTATTTACCTAGGGTTTAGGAAGAGGAGGTGAGGGAAAGCTTCTGACCAGAGGTAAAACCTGAGCTAAATTCTAAAGGATGGTGACAAGAAAAATAACTAAGGAATAAAGCTAATATCGCTGACATTTCTACTGAGCAACTTCTCCACTGGGATAGACTCAGAAACATCCAACAATATTACACCTATCAGTCCCAGAATGCTGCTTTTATGCTCCCAATTTTACAAATGAGGAAATCAAGGCTCACTGAAGTTCAAGTAATGCACAAAAATCAAGCACCCAATAAATGGTTGCTCTGAAGAGTTCTCCAGGTCCAAAAGTCCTATTCAAAAGAGAAAAGTAGCACATACTAAGCACAGACCTGGGAGAAAACAGCGTGTGTGTGGGGAAAGGAAACAGTTTGGGTTTTCTGGAATCACAGGGAGGATCGGGAAGCTTGAGCCTGGAGAGGAAGGCAGAGGGTAGATCCCAGGACGGCAGCTCTTTCAGAATCGATAGATGCTGGGGAGACGCTGAAGGGTTTTAGGCAGGATGAATGATCAGATGCAGGCTTCACACTTGGTGGAGCAGAACGGGTAGAGGGATGGGAAGAGGAAATGAGCCACAGGAGAGTAGATCTGGCTTCTGCTGTTTGCAAAGAACTCCCGGTTTTTGTTGTGTTTTTTTTTTAAAAATGCTTTCCTGCTGCTTTGATTGGTTTTGTTTCCCTCAAAGACTTCGCATCACCATAGAGCTCTTTGTATCAACACTGTTTTGACATGTTTCTTTTGACATAATGTCACTGAAATCACACGTTCAAGTTTTATTTGAATCCAAGAATTAAGTGCCTGCAAGCAGTGTCCGGGGATGCAAACCAATTCCTTGTGACCAATTCTCTGCTTAGGAAGCAAATGTAGAATATCAATGATGGGCGAACTGTACTTAGTACATTTTGTTCTTTATAATGATCATTGTGCTAAAGGATAAGGAAGGGACTTGAAAACAAAAGAAAAAAGAGAAATTCCATGCAGCATTAATCTGAGGCATTACGATTCTAATGAGGAGTAACTGCCCTGATGTTTACTTGTTCAATAGATAAAATCGTGTTTACCACGGAAGACTGAGTCACACAGAAGATGTTGGAAATTAAGCTCACGGGGGCAATTTGGACAGAAACACAGGAAGTGCTTTGTAAAAATCTGAGAAACACATCTTTGGTATTGCCTGTTAGGAAATGACATTCTTCACCTCGGTGCACTGACTGGCTGGTCGTCCCTGCCATAGGTTTTACGGGCACCAGGAAAGGTGCCTGTACCTGAGCTCTTTGGTTCACAATCTTTCCAACTGCACCACTAAAAATTATGTTTGTTGTGTTTCCCAGTTCTTTCAGTAAGGAACGGTAATTAGTATGCAACCATGCCTGGGACCTGTTGTACCTTAGGCTCCTCTCGGCTAACATAACAGAAACAATGATTGCTCAGGAAGTGAGAAAGTCTTTCGGGATGGCCAATGAATGGGGTAGAGAGGGTGAGGTGGGTGAGAACTGAGTACCGAAAGAAGGGAGAAAGAGTGTCAACTACAAACAGATCTAGATGCCAATGGAAACAATCTACACAGACAGGGGTGGGATTCAGAGAGGCTGTGACTGCCTTCAGCTCGCCACTGGAGGCAGGCAGGTGCAGAAATTAGTGACAGACAGAGGACTCTCTCCCATGACTCCACTCAACTCGAATGGGGGACAGTGGTTTTATTAAACTCACCCTGAAGAAGCAAACTTTTTTTATAGGGACTTGGGTTAAGCTATTTTTATTCTAAGAACACACTGAAAAAGGTGCCCATCATGGCAAGATAACAACAATGTTCAGCCATGCAGGGAATTATTAATCAAAGAAAAAAGAAGTCAAGGCAAGAGGCAACATGCTTCCTTTGCCCAGTCTGATTATAAATTTATTTAATCATGGGGCCAGGTTTGGCTGTTAAAAATCATCTTTCTCCTCCAGCACATCAGATCTGAAGCTCTCTATCTCAGATCTTAAACTCTCCGAGGGAGTTTAAGTATTTCATTTTCTAGAACTGTACCTAGTAAAATAGTACATTTCGGTGATAACTGGAATATGCGAGTTCAGATCATTATCTTTTTTTTTTTAAGAAAAGAGTAAGAGTTTTTTTTTTGTATTTTGACCACTTAGCACCTGGACTCACTGTTGCATTTCCACAACTTTTTTTTTTTTGGTATGCTACATCGCGGCTTATTTATTTCTTAGTTGACAGCTCCAAAATTAACAAGTCTGGTCCCAGTGCACCTGAAAGGCATTGCAAAACATGCTCAGTAAGAGGAAATAAGTAATAAAAGACCACCACCCTGACGCACCCCAGTCTACCATGTTTGACTCAGACCATTGTGCGAGGCTATTTGGAGCTCTCTCTGCATAACCTCAAACATCTCCAATCCATTCTACACAGCACAGTTACATGTTAAAAATGTGAGTCTTATGTTATCCAGGCTTGTAAAAACCGTTCATCTCTTTCCATGGTCTACAGGACCCTGTACGACAAAGCATGTCAAACTCGCGGCCCGCGGGCCGCATGCCTCGTTATTTGGCCCTTGTTAGCCTTTGAGTTTGACATGCTTTCTGTGCAATCTGGCCCTGTTTACTTTTCTAGACTTATCTTTCAGATCTTTTTCTCTCATTCCTCCACTAGGAGTCCATGCCTTCCTCTAGTCCTAGAAGCTTGTGACATGGTGTGATCCATGCTGTCCACTGCCTGCTTGTTTTCTATTTGCTCTCCAGTCTCAGCCCCAATGCCACTTCCCACAGAGACTTTTCCCATGGTCCATGTTAAATCCTGGCTCCCTGTTTTATGTGATGCCAGATTCTTGTTCACAGAACTTACGGTGATTTGAAAATATTTTTCTGTGTGCGATTGGGCGAACTGTTTTCGTTCTCACTGTGCTATCAGAATGCATGCCTGCTTTTACTCATCCTTGACTTCTCAGTGCTTGTACACTGTCTGAAGTGTATCTTTACAAATAGCTGTAGAAAAGTAATAAATGAATAAATAAAGAAGGGAAAGAGGAAAGTAAGGTTAACACAAAAGTGTCAGGTGGGTCTGTGACACATTCCCTCGGCTCTATTTTTAGAAATTAGCATGGTTACCAAATAAGTTAGGATAAATCACATCTTGAGGTTAACCTGAGTCTAAGCACTGAAAGAGACCTAGAATATTCTCCAATGCAATGATTTTCAAATTGATGCTCACCACCCACTAATGGGTTGTGAAATCAGTTTGGCTGTTTTTTTTTAAAAGAAATAAAATAGGTTGAATAACATAGAATAAATGCTATTAACATGCAAGTCTACACATTATTTATGAAATTTTGGTTCTTGTGAATACAATATGTGTCACTGTGTGTGTAGCTACCGGCTTGTGATGAAAAATATCTTTCTTTCTATGAGTGGCAGTCAAGAAAATTGATGAGCCCTGGCTGGTTTGGCTCAGTGGATAGAGGGTAAGCCTGCGGACTGAAGGGTCCCAGGTGCAATTCTGGTCAAGGGCACATGCCCGGGTTGCAGGCTCGATCCCCAGTAGGGGGCATGCAGTAGGTAGCCGATCAATGATTCTCTCTCATCATTGATGTTTCCCTCTTTCTCTCTCTCCCTCTCTCTGTCTCTCTCTCCCTTCCTCCCCGAAATCAATAAAAATATATTTTAAAAAATAAAAGAAAAATGATGACACAGGGGGAAGCTACTGCCTACTGCAGAACTATTGTGACCAATCCTCACTTAGACTCTATGTAAGCAAGGGTCAGTTCTTATATATCCTAGCAAAGCAAGGGAGACACATGACTGGTATTAGTTATTGCTTCTAAAAGCTATTCAATTTTGGAGGAAAGACATTGATTGATTTCAAAGATATCACCCTGAAGGAAAATAAAAGTGAGAAATGCACAGGCTTCAGGCAAGCCTGGGTTAAATATCACGTGAATTTAGAGAAAGTCTCTTAAAGGAAACTCAGAAAGGATATCTGTACATTAGGAATGATTTTATGTATCACATGGCAAAGAGTAAATTAGATAGAATGTTTGTAAAGTTATTAGCACAAAGCATGGCACATAGCATAATTGTGAAAATCTTGGCCCTGAAGCCAGACTGTTTTCATTCAAATCTCAGGTCTGCCCTTTAACATCTTTGTAATAATTGGAATAAGCCCTAAGCCTCCCCATTTATAATAGTACATACGTCATAGGGCTGTTGGGAAGATTGAGTTCAAACATATAAATGGCTTACAACAGTGTCTGGAAGATAGCAAGTAACAGATGTTAGCTATTATTATAATTGCCTTCCTTTTTCCACCCATAAATGTAATATAGTTCTGGTGGTAAGCAGACAAATTTGTTTTATGTCAGTGTATCTTATTCTTGTATGTGAGGTAATTATATGTAGACTAGAGGCCCGGTGCACGAATTCATGCACCAGTGGGGTCCCTCGGCCTGGTCTG